TGAATCACGTCACGATTTTCGAGTTGTATACAACCATCAAGTATATAAATACTACACAAGATTTATTTTGAATTCAAAATCACAATGGATGGAAACATCTCGCATTAAGCTTAATTTGCAGACATTTTTTTATATTTTGAGAAGACAACACAAAATTCAATAGGCACAAGACAAAATCAATATCTAACATGATTTATTGGTTTGAACTCAAATCGTATAAACACTCGATCTGTGCTTAAGACAAATCAAACTATACAACTAAATTTTCAGAAAACAATTGACAAAATTAACGCCATACTCTCATTTGTGAATACCAATATGTTTAATTAATAAACCTGAACGTAGGTATTGTTACGTCTGACATTTGACTGTTGAACAAAATTCAGCCTAATACATGTATTTAGAAAAACAACACTGAATCCAATATGCTGATGGCATAGCTACAACGGCATACACGTATTACCGAATTATATATTTGTATGGCGATAGCAATAGGACTGGCCGTCGCATCGGACTTCGTCGCTATATTCGATTCTTATGATATAGCTGGAAGTTGTATTATATAATTAAAAAAAGACATTCCTACAGAATAAAGCCACTTTGTTCGTGGTTGAGTTGTATTTTATTGACACATAATTTATTGGTTATTTACGTAATTTTTGAGAGAACTGGTTTTACACTAATCGGTTTATATAGATGTCGCATTGATTGAATAAATTAAATCACACGCCTGGCTAGCAATAAAATGCATTTTATCACCAGTAACTGCTCTATCTTTGGCCATCTTTCTAATTGTGATTTACTTCGATTGCAGTCCAGTGACCATCAATTGTGCTGGGAGTAGTTAGTAAGAGGAAGCCATCATCGATTATTTGTATACGAGTGTTATGCTGCAACTAATGTACGCCCTGTAATTACTTGCACACGTCGTATTTCTATTATTATCTCCGAAACTGGCCTTCCTTTGTTTGATGACAGATTTACTGTGAATTCATCAAACCGTTGACTGAATATTCGTAGGAATGAGATGTGTGATTTACATTGTGCTAGACTCGTTGCTAATGTTACCTGTCGTGCACCGGAACGGCTCATTACACGATAATGTGTTTTGATTTAGTACTATAATCGTGACAAAAATACACAACTAACCCAATTCTCAATCTAAATCCCACTATCGCTTTTCACTTACACCGTTCAGTTTAAATATATTCCATCCAATCTTTCATGACGAGCTTTATTTATTGTTTTGACCATTCCGATGTATTTACCATTCCATTCTGACAAGTTCGTATATATTATCTACCAACACCATTATCAATGCTAATCCGAAAACAGTTTAAAAAATATTTTGTTTCTCTTACGTAGGACTTCGGAGCGACGGCCTACATTCGACAGCAATGGAATGATCCACGTCTGAAGTACGATGCTGGCAGCCAACATATTCCACCATCAAGCGACCTAATTGATAAGATATGGGTACCTGACCTGTACTTCCCTAACGAGAAAGCGGCTCATTTCCACGACCAAACAGTCGACAATATCATGCTGAGATTTTCTCCGGAAGGTAATATACTATATAGCATGAGGTATGTAATAAAGAATATAATATTGTGCAAATCGTATATTTAGAAATATTACGTGTATTGCATGAATTGATATACTTACTATATATGAAATACACTTATACATCGCCATATTTGATATTATTATACATCTGTTACCGTAACGCCATGAATTACAGCGTGCCGTAATTTTACGAGGTATTTTCATTCTACCATATTAGGAAATACGAATTCAAAATATAGAATTCTAATAATAAAAACAAACATGGCTTCCACCTGGGTTTGACCGAATCCACACGAAGAAGTTCGCTGATTCTGTTCTAAACTGTTTGGATTTTGGCATTCTCATGATATATACTTGGAAGGAAAAGTGTATGTACAACAATAAGACGTATAATAACTCAGATAGTACACAGTCGCATCGACCTCTGCTACGCGTTGGTCGATACTGCCGCTGTACTGTCTTCGTGCATACTTTACGGTATCCTCGTAATAACCTCATATTCATGTCATTCGTCACCTGGTTACTAGTATTTGTATGACTAGGATTGTACATCTTTACGCGTCCTGTTGCTGTACACAGCTCCGGTAATTTTTCAGTAAATTGCTTTTTTCGGTGTACTTTCGGCCACTATGTTGTACCAAAAATGGATAGGTGTGACTATGAATATACTCGCCTTGATGTGATGTTACGATTGTGATCCCAAATAGCGTGTACGTTTAGATTTCGATCAAGTAATGACAGATATGACCACGGATCAACCAACGCGTTACTAAATGCACAACTATCAATCAAAGTCACGTGACACAGTCAACGTACCCCAAGATGCTCTGGCTAACTTATCCAAACATTTAGTTATTTTATAATCCAAATCTGCTTATCCATGTAGCGGATTCAGTGAAAACAAAGGAGTCTCAGTCAGGACAAGACTCCGAGAACAAGAAAATACATGTATTTCCACAGCTTGTAAAACACTGGAAATATGTCCAGAATATCGGCCGTTCTTTTCTGCGGTCATTTTGCTTTTCCATTCAGTGTTACTTTTAATTGCGTTGAAAATAAAAACAAGAGTTTTCCGTGTTATAAATGAGCATATATTTTTTTATGTTCGATTAAAATCTGTTGTGAACCAAAATGAAGGCTAGTTTACAGTGGTGAGTACTGGGTTCCGGCCGATCGACAACCGGCTAGTGTCCCCCTAGTGTCACGTTACGGTAAATTTACTTTTGGGTAGATTGACGGCGGGTCTGCGCTGTGCCAGTATCACTGCCATATGCTCATTGAATTCGAATATGAACGACATGATTTTGTTTTCTATTACTCGTCATATAAGCCTGTACGTATGTTTGGCGTGCCACACAAAATGGTGGCGATCAGTTATTTGAATCTATGATAAATTATCATGAATCGTATTATTTATTTGATATTAGTCTACACCGTATTGTAATATTTGTGACTATGAATATACTAGCCATGGACTCGGTGGTGGTGCTGGTATATGGTTCGATATATTTTCATGTTTATTGACTAGCTAATAATGCATGGCCCGGACCCCTATTTCGAACGAGATGCTGATCACCTAGCTGAAAAACAATTCGATAAAAGGTCGCGAGTACCAAGATTTTATTCAAGTGCGATATAATAAAATCCTCTGGAGAATCCCTCTTTGGAGTCGTAGATTATTTGAAAACAGCATTTTAACATTGTATTTTATTCATGAGAGTGTCTGCATAAACCTTTGCCTATAGCATTCTGGTGTAAAAACAAATGTTTCAACTGTATGACTCTTTACCGTGGATATCATAACATGTAGTGACAATATACGTTTCAACTTTTATTTTGGCGCATTACCTGTGGTTTTGTTTCCCCGGGGCAAGCCATTTTTCGTCTCGTTGACTTCCTTTCTGACATACTTGTGATTGCATTGAAATGCGTGTCCACGTCAATTTGCATGCATACGTAATGAGGAATTGTGAGACCCATGTTAAAAAAAATCCGACGAAGTGACATTCGGACAAAAAATAAATCCAGCAAAAGTCAAATCAGTTAGTTACGACTGTCCATTGAATGCAAGTTTTGTTCTCAAATACATTTCAGAACATGGATATATTTAACATCGGTGAGGATGTTTTGAAAGAAAATAATATCTTTTTTTCCACGGCGTGGCACTGTTTACTGCAAACTGCATATCGAACGTACTTTGCAAGGAAATGTCTTTTAAAAAACTCCTATTTTTATTCTTCTCAATAGCAAAAATTATACGACTGCAGCACGTTTCCCTATTTATTTCACTCATCGTGCTGCGCGCTCTGTTCGTATATCGCGTTCAACACATCAATAAGTATCAATTTGATCACGTGGCCGTTGATTAGAGTATGTAATAATCTCTTGATATTAG